CTGTTACGCGAGATTTATTCCGTAGGAAATATTCCTTTCGCCCGTTAAATTACATCGTTACGGACCACCCCTTTTCCCGCCCCTTTCTACAAGCTTGACCTAAACACGTGTGTAAGCCGATTTGACGACACGTTACGTTCCAGCTAAAAGCTTGGTAAAGCAGTCGTTAAGGTTGAATTGAATTTTTCTTTTCTTCCAGATATTTGCTACAATATTACAGAGATTTTCTTTAAAACTCTGGTGATTGAAGAAAATGAGATTCGTCTTTCGAAGAGATGAAGTTGGAAGGAAAAAGAGTATTACAAATATGAATGTCGAGATGTAATAGAAACTGTCACCGTGACAAGCCCTTGGGGATTTGCTAGTAAAAGTAGACCACTCTTAATCGCTTTCGACTTGGACAATAATCAAACATTTTACACGCTGATTGAGTGCGCCAACGAAACTCTGCCGTGGAAAAGCTCTTCGATTTTTATAATTCGGAATAACACTAGTCGGTAACATAGGAAATTATGACATGCTAAATATCCCATTAAAATCAAAGCACAGCATCCCTACGCTCCCTAAATCAATCCTGAGCTCTAGTAGAACATTATGCTAACACGCAAGCACCACAAACACTAACATTTCAGGTAACAAGCGGACAATAAGGCATGCAAACTGCCTCGAGCAACGCACAACCCCCACACATGTGAAGATCGTTAAAAAATAAAGAAAAAGTGAAGTTATAAAGGTTACTCTGAACGAAACAACTCTCAACGCTTCAACTAAACTACTCGCGCAAAATTAAACTGACTGAAAGTCTATACGTGATCGTCTTCTTTTCGTGAGAAACACGACACGCGATGAACTGTCGAAGTTCCAGAAGAAACCAATTCTCACGACATTCTTTAACTTCCCGAAAACGAGTAACAGCGACGCGTGTCCGTCGAAACGAGAGTGGGCGTGGGGAATATTCGGGACGATTTACAGAATTTAAACAGTCTCTTGGGATAAGGCGGTAGCATGGCAGGTCGGATTAGCAGGCTGCTGCCGTCGAAATAATTCCCTCTCTTCGCCCTCGCCTGGCCACCCCCTTCAACCTCCGGGGGAGGTTACGTCCTTCCTGCGGGATAAAACAAAACAGCCAGCGGAGTATATTAATGCTCGGCTTAATGTGGCCCGCCTAATTAATGGACCGACTCACCGGATGCCCGTGCTCTCGTCCTAAAAGTAAAAGATAACGCTTCCGCAGGAGCATTATTAAAGACAAAAGCGTTCGTGGTCGACGTGGAAAATTTTTCTTTTTTCCCTCTCTCCCTCTCTCTCGCTCTGTTAGAAAATTCTGAGCGTCGAAAAGGCGTTTCACGTGAGAACGTCGTGTGCAGTTTCATACAGAGTGTATCACCCGGCGGTGTCCACGCGGGCGTGAAGGAAACGCGGAAAATTTTGTTTTTCCGCTGAAGAGATTCCAGGGGTGGTACTCTGGGAGTGTCACGGATGCTGCGAGGGCGGGGCCTTGAGAACTGCATCGAGACTGCCCAGTTACGTCGATAAATAGAGAGAGAGAGAGAGAGAGACCTCCTTTCCACGGTTTTCGTTTCAAGGAATTTTCCCTCTTGGCGTCTTGTCGACGTCCTACTTCCTACTATTCTTATTCTCTCGCAGATATACTACCACGATCGAGTGTCCAAAGTTAAATCAAACCGGAAATACAGATAGCAAAATTCGTTCTGTTTGGATATAACGAGAAATGGACGAGAGACAAAGTGTACGATACAAAGTACGATTTAAAAGAGGTAGTTATCAAAGGCAGGGAGAAAAAGCTATAACTCGACAAGCAAGCACAGATTATACGGAAGTAATTTAATTACATTCGGGAAGATGGTTAACCAAGAAGATCTACCGATTGGAGGACATGTTGGCGGTCGTCGAACATGTACGAGATAATCGAATTATCGTCGCTTTGAGGAGCAGCGTCCGTGGATGATCTGATCACGTACCTGATGAACAGATCGCCAGCGATGCGAGCGGCTTTCGAAGGGAAACCTCTCGTTATGGACCCTTCACGGTTACGTTCCAACGAACCGTTTCCACTGTGCTCCGTTGGCTTTTCGACGATAGTAACTTCTATCGAGTAATTAAAGCCACGCGAAGCACGAAAAGGCAGCGGCCGCGATATCGGTGAATAACTGTCGTTAATGTTGCAACCAACGATCGTTGCGTTGCAGTTAAATTGCTGATTAAACGCCGGCACATTCGTGAAGAACATTTATTTCTCGCTAATTCTAAACGACAATGAACGACGACGAAGACAAGTAACGAAAATTGCGGAACAAAGTGGAAATTGACCGACCACATGTGGTTGGCGAAGGTTTTCGAGGTCGTCGCTGGTATTCAGGTTGTGCTTCCGCGGGAATTTCTGTGGTCGAATTCCAGCTATGGCCAACTCGAAAATACTTTTGTTATTATACGGGGAGAATAAGCGTGTGTTTCGCGTTTCAAAGGAAACGAATTTTCGTCCCGTCGCTGGTCAACAGCACCGTTGAATTTTATCCACGTCCTGGAAACGTCAATTTTCCGCAACGGACGTATATAGAAACGAACGAACAAGGGCAAAATTACGTTGTTCGGAAAATTACGAAAATTACGCCCGTCGATTTCGACGTGCACAGAATTTCTCGCGTGCCGGCCCAAACAACGTAACAAACGTCCGGGCTGCTCTCTAATACTTTCCGATGGGCATATTAACGGTGACTTTAATCAACCTATAATAACAATAAAATATATTAACGTCCGACATAAATTTCACCGTGAAAGCATTCGATCGTTCGCCGATTATTATGTGGGAAAGTTTGCGCGCATTCGGATTTAATAGTTTGCATAATTTACCTGGCTAGTTAGTTATTCCATTAATCACTGCACTCGTAGGAGTATAAGCTTACGCATAATAATTGTACCATTATTTATATCATATTCGATGTATCGATAACCAGTCCTGCACGCAATGGATTCAACACAATTAATTAACTCGCCCTCGTCCACCTCCAATTGCCCTCTTTCCTATACAACCATCGAATTTGAGGTTTCGCTTGTTTCAAAGCAACTACGGAACTAGAAAGGACGATTATTTTGTCGCAAATTTGTTGTACGTAATAATACGTCGTTGGTGAAAATAAATGTTCGATCGAGAAAATCGTTCAACCCCTTGACGTATGACTTCTTTTCTGACTGTGCATCTAAGCGTCGGCCATTTAATGTTTTAGTTCTGTATCGGGTAACGAAAGGTAATCTGTTACCGGTTAATTACGTTTAGTAATCCTCAGTCTTAGAAATTCAAACGAAAGTTGGGATTAGGATGAATTTTTCTTAGTAATATAACTATTTTTCTCACATCTTCGCCAGAATCTCTGCCACGAGTATGACACGTTGTTGTACGTTAAAGGGTTAACGCTCGTGTCTTACGCGTGCACAATTTATCTTGGAAAAAGTGCAATTTTGTTTAATTATTTTCTTTCATTTTTCGTATTCCGCTATCTTTTCTATTCTACAGCAAAATTGTAAGTTACAGCATTGTAAATGAACGGGAGGAAGTGTATTTCTACACGCCTAGGAAATAATAAAGGAGGAAAATAAAATTGATCGTTTCTACCATATGAAGTTGAGAAAAATGTTCGCGTTGAGGGGTTAAAGTAGCGGCGGCAACATCGACGAAGGCGAGTTTCTAATATTTCAGTCTTTCATAATTAACGTATCAAAGGGCCCGGGTATTAATATTTGCTTCGGAGTCTCAACCGCATAGAAGATATTAACGTCCCTGTAATATTGTGTCCAGGCTAAGGGGAGAGGACATATTGAAACCGCACAAACTTTGCTCATAGCATCCACGGGTACTCGTAAATATACAGGGTGGCTGAGATCGAACGTCGCGGTGGACGACGAAGGGAATATAAGTCTATTACGGAAGAGACGTTGTATTTAAATTAATCTAGAGAACCCGAGAAATAACGTCTACGATAAATTTCGCCGATATAAAAATTCTACCAAGATATATCACAGAGAAAATACGATTTCCTACGGTACACGTACGATAGAACAAACTGCGAAGGAAAAAGAAAAAGCTCGATGTACACCGAATACGATCGGATCCGGAATATTTGCATTCTTTTTTCCACGACTTACTGTCCGGAAAACACGGGATATTTTCGAACGATCATGAAAACGGGGGTCCCGGATTGAAAGGAAGCAGGAAACGGGAGAAGGCAAAGGGGATGGGCGATTAAATAAACGGCTAAACCCCGGAAAATTTCTGTCGAAACGGCGCGTAACCCGCTCATGGGGTGGACTATACATACGTCTTCGGGCGAAAACAATTAATGTTTATCGGGAAGCTCGCGCCAGCCGTTGCCCGACAAGCCGGCGGTGGTTGTTTCAGAGCCTGGTGCCGGTTAAACGCGCAATAAGTGGAGGAGGATAGAGGAGAGGGTCAAACTAATTCGATTCTAAACTCTGACCGCATCGCAGCGCGAGAAAGAGAAGAGCGAGAGGAGACGAGCGGAGGAAAGGCCGCAGCCCACCCTCACCCCGTGCCACCCACGGGTGGACACAGATGGCACTAACCGCGCTGTTAAATTCTGAACCTGTATAACTCTAATTGCTCATAGACAAACGGACGTCCTAGTGCCAGATGCCGTTGAAACTTGTTAAAAGCACGCAAACGCGATTATTCATTCAATTCTGTTAGACGATGATTTACCGTATATATATGTATGTCCAGCCAGCGTTTTCCCACCCCTATATTCTCCCTCCTCCCCCTCTCTTTTCCATCTAGCTAATCGAGTGTTGATCGAGACCGCGGTTTAATTAATTGGTCTGTTATGGATATAATAATAATCGTCGCTGGGATTACTAGCGCGGTGTCATTGTTATTCGTTGGCTGTGTTGTCCGAAATTGTGGTGATAAATGGAGATTTTATCGTGTTCGCAGGGAATAGCGGTCGAGAATCCAAAGAGTGAATAAAATGACGATGGATGTGAGTAAGAGCGAGCCGAACAAGAACGGGGCTGTGCAACAGGAGTGCGCTGGCTGTGGAAAAGTGATCACGGAAAGGTGAATATATATGTGTATATGTAGTAGAACTCGGTATGACGCGATTAAATATTGCTACTGCCTCTGTGTAACGTGATGAAAAAAAAAGAAGGACGTACAAATTCGGAATTTTGGGTTAATTAGATATGACCTGAAAAGCGATATCGGTGGAACTTGATTTGTACCATATTTCCCGCGTTATAGGGGGTCATACTGTATTGGGAAACGTGGTTTTTTCAAATGAAACTTTAGTAAATAACGTGTATTTCGGTACATTTTCTGCAACGATTAACCCTTTGATATTCGTCAGTAATGTATTCGCTAAACACGCCATTTTAATAAATGAACCTCTTCAGGGATGATTTTTTTTAAGTTAAAAAAGGATGATTTAATTTTTTATGTAGTTACATTTAGATACTGCTTTCCTTGTTGGAAGATTACGTTTTTCATATTTTCTCTATCACAAGTATTGGAATTTTCGGAAAAACTATACGTACACACAAGTGTCAGTGTCTCTGAAAAGGTTAACAATTCTAAATAATTCAGAAACCCGAGTGACTAACTCCATAAAATAAAATTGATCAAATCTGTTTTATTCGTGAAAAATTAAGCACGAAGCGCGTACTTTGATACTGAATTTGGAAGAATATAAAAAACTGGAGTTAATTCTGAATGTCTCAATTAAAAATCCATCCTAGAAAAAAACAACCTAACAAATTGAAAAAAAAACCAAGCACCCCCTCAAACCCGAATTTTCTCGAATTAAAGGTACCTTCTGCGAGCGGACAACATGTTCTGGCACGAAGACTGCCTGAAATGCAGCAGCTGCAACTGCCGACTCGTCGATGTAGGTCCGAAGTTTTACGCGAGGTCGAATCTCACGTTGTGCAGGAAGGACTATATAATGTAAGCTTCCATCTATAAATTCTATCATCCACGTTCGATACATTGAAATATACATGTATCCAGGAAAGAGTCGCGTAACCTGTAAAATTATAATTCTATTCATCGCCGTGTGTTGACGTTCGGTATATATTTCATTGTACCGCGGTGCACGGGGACGTCAATAAAGGGCAAAGAGGAAAAGGAGACGTTTAAGCACACGTTGCGGCCAGGCCGCCGCCTCCGCCGTCGCCGCCGCGGCGAACGGAAGCAACAAATCGAATTTTACAGATGAGTTTCCCTTATTGAATACATCCACGTCCCATATAAACAACGGAGGGCAAATAAACCGTGTTGAGATTACAAAGTCCCGAGGGAACACACGCAGGTGGCGCGTCTGCAAAGAGCGCTCGCTATCGAACCTCCGTGGCCTTTATTAATGGGCCAATATTTGAAGATGGCATATTCGTGGGTGGGAGGAAGCTTATTGGTCCCCGTGCTACCGCCAACTAAAAGTCTTTCCTCTCTCTCTCTCTCTCTTCTAATGTCATCGGGGGAGGAAACGCGTTTTCACGATACCAATGACATAATACGTCGCAGAGGAGGGGATAGAAAAGCAACGTGGTTGGAGAAACATTCGATTCGTCGAGTTTCTTGTGAAAATAATAATTCCTCAAGTCTCGTTTGTGTTCTTGATTGCACAGACTATTCGGGAACACCGGACACTGTGCGGCCTGTAACAAAATCATCCCCGCTTTGGAGATGGTGATGAGGGCAAGAACGAACGTCTATCACTTGGAGTGTTTCGCTTGTCAACAGTGCAATCACAGGTAAGCCCAATGAAGATTTCTTTTGTGAATCGGGTAGAATAAATATTTGCCTGTTTGGAGATACAACAGGGTGGGAAATGATATTTCGAAAATGGAGAATTTGCACGGGGTATATAAATTTGTACGACACTGGGTGTTTTATTGGAATATAATTTATCCCCGTTTGCTCGGAGAGATTTATCGAATAATTTGTATTTTAAAGGACGTTAAAGAGTATTACGATAAAATTTCGTCGATTCGAATGTGAAATAGGACGTAGATTGTAATTATCAAGA